AAATTTGTGTGGCATCTCTCAAGAGGAAAGGGGGAGTACATCAGGAACTGTTATTTTCCCAGATTTACTGGAAGCAGGAGCCTGCAGCCTTCTGGCCCCTGCACAGCTGAGGGTCAGGGCAGCAGTGTGTTCACCCTTGTGTCAGCAGTGGCTGTGAGCACTGTCAGCCTGTGTCCCCTTCTCCATGCCTCAGCTTGTCATGTTACAAACATCCACCCTCATTTTGTCCTGTGACCCTCCAGTATCAGGACACTGGGATTCCAGCAGGAACTTCCCAGGATGTGGGGCTTTGTTTAGGCACTATCTCCACTGCATTAAGATCTAATACAACAGACAATCAAACCAGTTTCTAATCAACAGATAACATTTTCCACTACACCTTTGACCTTACATTGTAACTGCTTTGACTTTCTTCTAGAAGGACCTAAGGAAACAGTCCAAGTTCCATGTGGGGAATGCTCCTTGCTTTGAGATCCCACAGGGATCTGTGGGTATGATGGGCTTTTGCATTCAAATAATTTTTGATCCATTTGCCCAAATACCTGGTACTGAAGAATAGCAAATCAGCCTGAAGGCTTGAAGGGGTTCTTGTTTCAGTTCAGACTTGAATTGATTTGATTGCAACAAATTGTTGCAGATCTTTGGGAAACCCTTGGCATAAACAGAAAAAAAACATACAGCGTCCCTCACAGTCAGCTCTGGTTTTGCACTTCAGGCTTGCAGCTATGCCGATTGAAAGCAAATGTGCCACTTATTGTTAGGCAAATATCCATCATTATTCCCATGAATACTTTTAATACCAATCGTGGGATCACCTAAGTTATGGAGCCAGGGCTGCTGGAATCTCTTCTCAGTTCCAACAATACACTGTGTGGCCTTGGAAGAGGTAAGGGCTGAAAGAGGTGAAAAACCTTGACTCACTTTAGTGTAACTTAGTTTACTTGTTCAGAAGGGAGGTTGCTTTTTATTCAGTACTTAAAAAGTCACGACTTCATAACAAAAGAAGTAAAAGCTCTTTAAATTGCTTTGGGTTTATTTTCTACTAGCACAGAGTGCATCGATTGGTGCTGTATATTGATTCAGTTATATCCAGTCTAGGAACCTGCCATGCTTTAAACTAGTTTGGTTACATCTGTCCAAAAAAAAATCTGAACAAAAATACATTTTTGGTTATCTCAGCTCAATCAGGAATAGATTGGTGCTAAAGAAAATTAAACCCCCTGTTCAAACCACAGCAATGCCATGTACAGAAAAGCCTGTAAGAAGCCACATGGACACCTTTCTTAGAGGCTTGTAAAGAAGCTTCTGAGGGCTAAAGCTGTTCTCTTCACCTTTTTAATTCTTAGCTCTTCTTCCTTCCTAAATCCAGAAGGAATACACCGAGAACAATTCCCATCACCTGTGTCATTACTGAGGCTTAAGGAGCAAAGAGGGTAAATCATTTCTTAATGAGAAGTTGAGGGGAATGGGATGGGACATCATTAGGCAAACAAAGCCAATCCCAAGTACAATGGGTGGTAAGCAGGATCTTAGTCTCAGCTAAGTGCTTCTGCCTTAGCAGGAAAAGCAGTTTAGGTGAGAAAAAAAGAGATTTAGCATGAACATCCAGCTAAAGATGTGCTAAACTCAGTAGCAAGGCCCCGCAAATTAGTAAAGGGATAGAATTTACATAAAAACTGCTCTGTGCTTTTTCCTCAGGCCCCACACGAGTTGATCTGCTTTTAATGCAGATGCTAATTGAGTCCGAGGTAATCCGAGTGTACAGAGGGGCTTGGTGGGAGAGGTTAAGCAAATGGTTCTTAGCAAAACGTCTCTGAAGCCCACGGAGTGCAACAAATTCATTAGTTCTTGTTCTCTCTTGCGGTTTTGAAAAGAAATATTGAACCCTTGAAATATTTGACCTGGCTTTGTTGCCGCAAACATTAGTTTTAGCTGTACAGAAAATACTGTGATAGGGGTCCAGAAGATCCTGTTGTTCCCGAGACTTTGCCAGTGAGCAGCTGCTCCGTTAAACCCCTTTGCACTGTTTTTTCTTGGGGGGGTTGTCTCGGTTTTCCAGTCGGGGGATAGCCAGAGATAGGTGGGGGAGAGGAAGGTATGCTGACTCCAAACACTCTGCTAATCCTCACCAGTGAGCAATTAAGGCAGCATTCACTGAACTATTCAGCTTTTCTGTTCCTCACTCCTGGTCACTTTTTTCCTTTTCACTCCTTAGGGTTACACGTGAATATCTTGACCCTTTCCTGGTGTATGGTACCAGGAAGGCTATGTCTCCGGCTTCTTATTTAATTTAAAAGCTTATCCTGCATCTGCCTGCTGGAGAGCTTTGTGTTTCTGTTGGATCTGACAGGAGGTCTATATCCACCAGACCTGGGCTTAAGTGTCCTGACTGTCAGGTCACGTGTTCCTTTACTTTTCTAGCTCAGAAAATCTACAGTAGATAATAATCATGTTTTAAGAAAGAAGAGAGTAGCTGATAAAAACTCCTATTCTCCATTTTTACTGCTCAAGTCAACTAAGCATAAAATATATCTTCCTAACAACATAAATGTGATGCGAGTTGCTCTCTATTTCCCAGAACAAAGAGCATCAGGGAAATATTTTGTCCATGTCTCTGAACTAACAAGAGTTTTTCTCATGGTGTACTATCAAAATTGGACATTTAACGAGATAAATTCCTCCACTCAGCTGCAGATTTTCCTAAGCCAACTGCAAACAAGTTACTTTATAAAAAAATAAGAAGCCATTTTCTACGTGCTTTCAGCAGTACAAGTTTAAATCTTACATTCCAGGTGCCATCCTGTGTGTTGAGAGTTATCCATAAATCCCAGTGACCTTCCACTGACTGTAACAAGGACAACACTTTGAAGTTCGAGCTGGTATATTTCTGGAAATCGTAACTTATTATTTTTCAGAACTAAAACAAGTGCACTGTATGAGTCAGTATTTTGGAGAAGCTCTTATTTTTAGGGTTTTCTATTTTCATGCTTATATTCTTCCAATTTTTAGAGGAACTGACCAAGCAAATGTAAGTCACAGCCCTGGGTCAACTAAATTCTGTGAAATTTTTGATTCACCTCCATTAAAGAGCAGGAAGTTACCAAATATATCACCTTGCCCCCACAAATTAGGGCACTCGGGTGTATATGTGCTTAATATGAGCATCCCTGTAGGACATTCTACTCACCACAATTCAGACGTAACGTTCTGAAGTAAAATAAATATAAATCAGTGTAAGGTCATAACATTTGTTTACAAAATCTGTTAGCTCATTGGCTTCCAGCAGAAGTCTCCAAACCCCTTTATGGTTCCAGTTTGCAGTCTGATAGGCAGCACTAACAGGGGAAAGGCTCCAACGATTACTTCTCTATATATTTTTAAGCCTTGCCCCCTGCTCCTGCTGGTAACACCTGTGGAGTCCCTTTAACATCCCTTCACAGTGTAATCACTCAGGATTCAGTGCTGTGAGGAGGTGTTAAAACACTCCAGCAGAGAGTAGTATATTTTGACAACTTCTTCCCATCAGTGTCCCGCTGGGAAGGGGATGGCTGCAGCCGGGCCGCATGCATCCTAACAAGGAGCCAAAGCTTTGCCAGCTTATTCTCAGAGAACTGGCTGGAGTCTTGTTTTGTTCTTACCTTACCCTTTAATTCTCCAGCCATTTGAAGTGTTCAGTTGTATAAAGAAAGAAAAAAAAACCACTAAGCCACTGGAAGAGAGGAAGGAACACACACATTGTTTTATTATCTTCATGTAGCATCTGTACTAAATGCACATTCCGTTGAAATCAGGGCTATAAGTTGCTCCTTTAGCAGCACCACTTAACTAATAGCCATCAGGGGCAGGTCAGTCACAGGCAGTATTTTACCATCAATTTACTGGGCGAAGTGTGTGGGTTAAGTACAGCCTTTCCAAGCTTTACAGGGTGTCAAATGCCCACAATTAATCACTCCACTAAGGCACCTCCCCGTCCTCAGTTGCTGAGCAGTGACACAGCTACAGAAATTGAAACCAAGTCCTCTGACTTGTCCCCCAGAGCATGGTATGGCAGTGGGAGAGGACCTGGGGATGGTGGGACTCATTCTAACAACTTCAGTCATTCCTTGAGTAGGTGTGCAGGCCTCAGAATCTTCCCTTTTTCAACAGCATTAAAATAGTGAAAGTTAAAAACGCCAAGAAGCTAAAATAAGTTCTAAAGTGTCATATTCAGAGATGTAAAATGCCAAAATTGATGCCCTTCTTAATAGCACCAAATATTTGAAAGTCCTCAATTCAGTCCCAAATAACTTATGACAGTGAAGTAGGATCCACAGTTGCAGCTGTGTGCTGGTGTGTGGCACTCAGATATGAACTCCTGAGAACATCATTGGGTCACCCTGTGCCACCCCAAGATGGGGTGTGTTGGCACTGTGTCCATAAATTGTTCTTTTAAGGAAAGGTGCTGGAGCCATCACAATGGTGTGATCTGTCGGGATCCGGTGGGGAGTGCGTGAGGGGTGCAAGAGCTGTCCACTGGTGGGGGCAAGGCTTGAGAACTGATTGTCTTCAGCCAGCCCAAGGAGAGGAAGGGATGGAGCCAGAGTCATGCAGATGTTGCTGCTCTGAGGACCACTGTTCAGGGAGCTCCTGGTGGCAGGGCTGGAGCTGGAGAGGTGAGAAGGAAGATCAGGTTCTAGTAGCCAAGTCTGGCCAGGTGCAAGTCCATTCTGCTGCTCCTCAGCCTGGGATTTTAAGCATTTGCAGCAGCAAATTCCAACGCAGGCACCACCAACAATAAATGCCACGAACACAGAGCCAACGAGAAGGAAGGGCAGGTACACGGGCACTGCAAAGGTAATGTGACATTAGCCAAGTCCAGAGGAGGCCACGAAGCTGATAAGAGGACTGGAGCACCTTCCCTACAAAGACAGGCTGACAAAGTTGGGACTGTTCAGCCTGGACAAGAAAAGGTTGCATGGCGACCTCATAGCACCCTTTCAGGATCTGAAGGGGCTATAGGGAAGCTGGAGAGAGACTCTTTGTTAGGAACCGGAGTGATAGGACAAGGAGTAATGGGGATAAATTGAAAGAGGGGAAATTTAGATTCGATATTAGGAAGAAGTTTTTTCCTGTGAAGGTAGTGAGACACTGGCACAGGTTGCCCAGGGAGGCTGTGGCTGCCCTGACCCTGACAAATGTTCAAAGCCAGGTTGGATAAGGCCTTGAGCAACCTGGTGTGGTGAGAGGTATCCCTGCCCAGGGTAGGGGTTGATCTCTAAGCTCCACTTCAAGCCCTTATCATTCTATGATTCTATGAAATGATCCACATGCACTAACAGGACAGGTTAGCAACACACGTTTCACCAGCGACACGAGCATCACACGGTGTTCCCAGGTTACTTGTTTAGTAGCTTAGAGGCTTTTCTAAGAGCAGGACTGACACAAAAGTCTTTTGAGTGAACCCCCCCAAGTTATTCCTTCTTCCCAGTGAAGGGAACGGGGGAGGTGTCTCTGGCCTATGCCAGAGGGCTCCTCTGCTCTCTGCCGCAGCGGTTACAGCGGGCAGCTCTGCAGGGCGGAGGAGTGGAAGGGTCTGGCTGATGCCACCGAGGTTGCTACAATAATGCGAAGAAGGAAGCGGAGCTGATAGGCACACAGAGCACACAGAGCACACAG